TTGTGAATCACTGGTATTTGTGGCTTCCTGAAATGATAGAAGACTACTGGAATCACTGTATCATTGCCAGCCATTATTAGGAATTCTACTATAGACATACATATATTCAAATTCAATGTCCATATTATCTTCATCTGGTGCTGCTACTTTTTCCCTTCCTCTTCCCTTTTATTTTCTTCTGTAGGAAGAAGTATAAAGTTCCCAGAAAAGTGGAATGAGATACGAGATAGGCCAAATCAAATTCAGTCTTTTAATCAGTGGATATCAGTCACTTCTGTATAATGTTCTCTCTTTTTAAAGCTAAGATTATCAAGTGCTAAAGTTTTCTAGACTCTTCTAACTTTACTTGGTGCATGCTCTTTCTAGACTGAGAATAAATAACAGGCAAAGAACACAGTCTACATGCACACGATTGACCTCTGTCTGGTGTTAATTAAAGCTGGTGACTGAGCTATTGAAATACTAATGCTTATAGAATTCACATTAATCTCTTTACATTAATAACTTTGACTTCTGTACTCATAAGACTGCAGAAACAATTAAACCTCTGCATAAATAGTAACAATTTCTATGTGAGTACATATACAAATTGTACAATAGAAATTGTGTTAATTCTGTGTGCTTTTAAAAAAATCCTAACCTTAGAAACTTTGTACAAGAGAAAGGGTGAGCTGTGACTGAATGGGTTTCTATATTTACTGTGGCATCCACAGATACTTATTCCACATAATAATAGTGTTTCTTGCACAGTGTTCCTGATATATTCAAAAGTACTAGAGGAAAAATGATCGATTATTAACCATGTCAACACTAATTCATTATTTAAAAGAAAAAAAAAAAAAAAAGAAAGGGGAGGGAGAAGAAAAACCCCAATAGTGACATGTCTGGTTAAAGGTAGATGATCTGCTTTCAGACTAGAAATTAGAGAGCCAATAACCTTTCCAAATGAAATTATGTTCCTTGTTGTGGTATATTGCACCCAACTTGACTCACAAAGGAATTTGAAGAAGATCTTCTGCCTGGCAAACATTTGCAAAATGCTGGGGAGGCATGATAGAAAATGGTGACTGCTGTTGCTATTTTGACAGTAGGAGCTTAATATTACACAAAATCCGTGGCAGCTCTGGACTGGGAATGGCTTTGTGGCAGTATAGCTAGTTGGTAGTTTGCAGAAAGTCACCTTGTTCCTGACATGTATGCACGTGCTGAAAAAATAGTCAGAATTCAATTTCAAGGGAGCTTTTAGCTCTGACTTCACAGTTCTTTTATTTTTCTTTTTCCTTACTAAATGCACAGAGAAGGAGAGGTGTCAAGAAGGCTGCAGGCATTCAGGAGAGGCTCCTTTGGCTCACCCTCTTGTAGAGGACATTGGTGTTTAAAAATATTGCAGTCTCTTGACTTTCTTTGAAGGCTTTGTCCTTGAGCAATCCAAATGCAGCTTTCTTTTATTTGAAGTACTGCAGAAAACTGTTTAAAGTACACTTTTATACCCAAAAAATGTTATTCTACCAGGACATATAGTCTTTTGTTGGGTCTCTGTTTGTAAGTGACATAAGGTATTTGTTTTTACTGGGGGCATCCAGAATATACTTTTTTCTTCTTTTAAAGCATCTACTCCTGTAACAGTAATTCCCCTGTGTGCTGTATAACTCTTTTGTTGAGGAGATGGAAAGAATGTAAGGGTTACCATGGCAGAGAAAGCCCAGCCTTTCCTTTGTTCATAAGGGATGTGCTCATTCTTCAGGTCTTGCTGCTTGGGGTGGATCTGCATGTACATAGCTGCCTACTCCACCTTTGTCCCAAAAATCTGGTTCCCTTGTGTGGTGAGGGTGGAACTAAAGTTTAATCACTTTTGTTTCTCAGATTTTGAAAACTATGTGTTATTGCTCTGGGGACTGAGCTTCTCCAGAGACCACGCCTGAAAAAAACAGCAACTTGAATTGCTCAATAAATCAGAGAAAACTAGTTCTGTTCTCATGCCTCACTGTACTCCTTGTTGACTTTTTTTTTTTTTTTTTTGTAATTTCACTTTTCCTCATATTTTACTTCTTCTATTCTGCAATTCCCTGTTATGTTCTTTTTTGTGGCCTCATGTCTCTTTCTTACTCAGACCATTTATCTTACCCTTTAATATTAGAAAGAGCCTGCATATTGTTTGGGTATATATGAGCACATATGAAATGACAGATGTCTGCAGAGACAGACTCTGTCATATGGGAGAACTTATCACAGCATCACACTCACCTCCCAGATTTCCTTGCCTACCCTTCTCTTCTCTTTCAGCGTCAGTGCTACTGCTGGCGCTACTTGTCCACACATTTGTGATTAACTAAAACCTTTCATTTTACTTTAATGTTTTGCCACAAGCCACTTCCATTGTAGCAGAGTAAAGTTTCTTTAATGTGGCATATTCTCTGAACACACCATGTGTGCTGATGGAGGTACTGGAATAACTCAGGCTTCATTCTGTTTCTTTATTGTACCAGCTTTGATATAAGTTTGTTTGACTTGCCTTGTCATGCTCAGGTCTAATTGGATGCCACTTTAGAGTCCTCCTCCAGCTTCAGTTCAGACTCTGTGGCTTCTGTTACTCAAATTCCCTTTGTGTGGTCATGTGTTAAAGTTGGAGCTTGGGAATGATCCACCTGCCAGGTCTGCCATGATGGGGACTTCTCCTGAGCATGCTCATCCCTTTTCCTCACTCTCTTTTGCATTTGTGAGATAGGCTTCTAAGCTGTATAATACTTTGTGTCTGTTTTGCTCTTATCTTTGTGTCTCCTCTAAAATGATTTGTTTTCTGGTAGCGTGCAGTACTCCTCAAATTTCTGTAATTCTGCTGCATGGTTTTATCTCCTGCCTGACTTGAAAAGCTATTAAGATAAACAAGACAGAGCAAGCTTTATGCACCAGCTAGTATCAGAAATTAATTTATTGTGGTTTTGTTTTTCCTCCTGCTTAAGGACACAACACTGCTCTCAATCTGTTTCTGTTGTCCTGCATGCTTTCAGAGACCTTCAACTCTCATGAAGAATTTTGCTGCTCAATTACTCTAATCAAGCTGTTTCCCTGGCTATGTCTAGACTCTGTGGCAGGAATATGCCTCAGAACCTGCCTCTCAAAGTGAGTCTGGTGACATGGCATGTACCATGCCTCTTGCTTGGCCTAGGACAGGAGTTTTTCCCAGCTTTGAAAACAAAGGAGTGGGGGGAGGAAGATACCACCTACTCCTGGAGGTGAGGGTAACTCAGGTTGTTGTTAATAGATCGCTTGGAGGGCAGGTTAGAATGAGGTTACACTGAATGACCAGTGTTTGAATATATATATATATATATATATATATATATATATATATATAGGAAAGAAAGAGAAAGGAAGCAAAAGAATAGCTAGCAGAGAGGAAAGACATCACCCCCTGTTGGATTGAGTGATGGGACAGTGATTGCAATTTTGGTGTCTGTTGGTTGAAGTGATGGTTCCAGTCTTGATCTGCCTCAGGTGAGGGAGGCCCATGAAACACAGAATTCAATAGGTTAATACAGGTTCAGGTTTAGGTGGAAATGCCATGGTACCTCCCCTGGGAGAGGTGTGTGTGTCTAATACTGTTGCAACCCTGTGGCTCATGCACAGTCCTCTGGCAGAAAGCCTCAGCAATAAGTCTGGGTGCACTTTGGTGCTTTTCGATGGTTTATGACAACTTCTAAGTTGTCTACCTTACATTCTAGGATGTGCAATTTACCCTCATCCCTCCTGCAGCAGTCCATGTGCTCCCTGGATCCTTTGCTGACCTAATTTGACTCATTGAAAGGGTAGAAAAATACCTCTTTTTCCTCTTCTTCACACTTCAGTTGTATTTAAACCAATGGCTTAATGGGAAGAGAGGGGATGGTGAGTAATGCTCTATCACCAAATCTTGCATCCTCTGCAGAGGGTTTCACTTCCAAAGAAGTGAAGAACAGTGAGAAAGCATATGCACATAATGGCATACAATTTTTTAAAGTTATTAGACCAGTTTTCCAGGTGTTATGGTATTTAAAGTAGTTGAGCCTAAATTTCAAACTTGTGTGTTTGCAGTGATAAAATTATGTGGTCATGTACCTTGTATTCTGAGGCCTGCTGTCTCATTAAGGCATAGAATAGGCTGTGGGTGAAAGGAACCATGGTACTGCTGAACTACTTGTCCTACTGTAGCAGCTGTATCCTGACAGGAAAGCTGTCCCTTAATACATACACTCTCCCTCCCAAAATCTGAAAAGTTGAATTTGCTGGAAAATTGGGCTAACCTCTATCACATTTTTTATCAGCTAGAAGTGGTTAAAGGCCTGTTTATACTGGCTGCTCATTGTGTTATTTTATATCTTTCATGGAAAAAAAAAGAGCTGCTGCTTAAATGTAATAATTAATTTTCTTCCAATAGATCACAAACAGCACTTTTCAGGAAATCTCAACTGTAAGCCAAATTTATAATTCCTCCACAAGAGATGCAGGGTATGTCTTTGCAGACTAAAGGTAGATCCAGTGCAGTGTGAACACAGAAAATATTCTCCTTACTTGCATATAATTTGCTAACATATAATTGTGTTAATAAATAAGTCATGGGTTCATGGGTTAGAAATTATCAAAAGCAAACTTGACATTTGAATGATAAAGGCCTTTTACGGATGTTTTGTATTTCCTATTTTTCATAAGAAAATAATTTTTATATGAAAGTGATATGTCTAAGTATTTCAAAATTCTTAAGTAAGGTTCATTCAATATCTCTGCTGTTTTTAGTTCTTATGCAGTTTTCCAAAAGCAATTAACACATTTGATGTTGTGGTGTATTCAGGCTTGATTCTTCTGCTATTCTCTTCATATTTTCACACTTTGCCTTTTAGGTGTCTGCCTTCAGGAATCATGGCACAATGCTGTTATGTTTCGATTCCTTCCCCACTGCTCTTGTGGACCCATTTGCTGGCAGTGACAGAATCAGCCAGAGAATCACCTGCCCTGTGAGTCTGGTCATTTCCATGTTCTGTGAATGCTTCCTGCCTGGGAGCTGCTCTAAGCCATGTGTTGAATTGATGCTTAGAGTGACTCTATCAGAGCACGTCTTTAAAATTTAGGTATAAAAGTTGCCTGAATTGAGAAGACAGGTAAGAGACAAATTCTCTCTCTCTTCCTAACTCTCTGACTTGCTGCTGTTATTCTTCACTCCCCACCAGAAAAATTCTGGCCCTGTTCTTTCTATATGCAAAGCAACAGGAGGAGGAACAGGTCAGGCCTTAATCACCCATGATCACTTCTTTGCTTCTCCGTCCCCAGCCTCCCAACAAAGTGCTGTTGCTGTGCCTGGATCACCAGCAATGCCACAATCTGATGTTTTAGTTGAGTCAGGGATGCTGTGTAGAAGATTGTCAGTGGTTGCTTCCAACTCATGGGGGACCACTGGGGGTTTATTGCTTCCTTTTGTTAAGCAGAAGTCCTGGTGCCAGAGATTCCATAGTTTCCTCACTGGCCTCCTGCAATGCATCTATGGATATTGCATACTGCTGTTAGAATTGGGCAGCAGGTGGTGAATTAAAGGACTCATCTGCTAAGAAGAAAAAAATGTTAGGGTTTTTATTTTCTTTTCCCTATTGCTTTGTGTTTGGTGAGGAGAGAAGATGCAGCAGGTGCTAAAGCCACTATTGCTGCCTTGGGGGGTCTTGTCCTGCTTCTGTTTCTGCCTCTCTACTGTTGTCTTGTTCCTGCTGCTTATACAGCAGGGCCTTGTGCTTTGCTAGGAAACAGTCTAACACATTTTTGGGGGTGGAGAACTGACAGTATTTTGGAACTGACTAAAAGTCAGGAAGGATAGTAGCCTTCTCTTGTTTCTGCTTTTTGGTTTTGGTTTTATTCTTTTTTGTCTTTCTTTTCACCCATATGTTTCATCTTTTTGCTTTTGTTGTCACTAGACTGTCTCACACCGTCCCTGGCAAAATTCATGTTCTTTAAAGAATTATCCATCCAGACATAGTAATACAACTGAGAAAGGATTCTTTATAATATACTCTGCTTTTCCTCTGAATTAATATCTAAATGCTAATATCCATGCTGACGTTAGATTAAAAAATTAAGTTCTCTGTTTTTCACTTCCTCTTCAATGCATGTTTCTGCCAAGTTCCCCAGTATTCCAAATGCTGTTTCCCTTTTCCTTTTTCCTCTCTGATTAAGGTAATGGTTAAATTTCTGAATTCCTTTTTACCCGAGGATCTCCAGTCAGGTAAGAAGACTTTTTTTTTGTTTTTGTTTTTTTTTTTTTAAAGAGCAGCTATCCAATTATTTTGTCTGGTGATAGCTATAATTCTGTTCTTTGGTCACATTGACAAGAAAGTGTAATTACATTTCCAGTTTTGTGGTAGAAGTTCCTCACCACAGAAATGAAGGAAGACTTCCTATGTGTAGGATGTTAGGACATTGATTAGAGTTGTTTTTTTTTTTAAGTATTTAAATGTGGCTACTCCTGTCCTGTTTTTATACCTCGTGTACACATTTTTGTTACATTGTCAGATGCTATAAATGTTTGTGGTGGTGTATTCTCCAACACCATTCCGGAACCCTTTTAATTGCTACCAATAATTTCGGTTCGGGATTTTAGGCTTTCCATTAATTAATATCTTTCTAACATCATCCTGCACAGGAAATTATCTCTAATTAGTAGCTGGTTTAAGGCCATAGAGGAGAAAAAAAGGATATGTGTGGGTCTGGAGCAGAGAGATTACATATCCTTTGTACTGTACATGCACAATTTTTCCCTTGTGCAAAGCCCTGACACAGCCCTGTAGGCTTCAAGAATATAATGCAGAATTAAATCAACCTTCAGATAATTCAGTAGTTCTGGGATTGTTGTAGATTTGCATATCAAAATCCCAGTGATAATCAGATGAAGGATTCAGGCTTTTGGGTTTATGGACAGCCCTCAAAAGTACTTGGTCAAGTTATTTTTGAAATTAAAATGTAATAACTGTGTAAGAACACTAATTTTTTTTTTTTTCACTAGCTCTGTTCTAAGCATACCATTGAACAACATAGCACTTCTTCTTTATTCCATCAATTTGAGATTAAAATAAAATTCCTTTGAAACATCATTGGTCTTCGATCAATGAAAAGACAGAGGAAATATTTCTGAGCCCTCCAGCCTAAATGCAAGGCAGTCTGAAAAGGGGTAATATATACAAAATATTTAGTTTATTTTAGATTTGTTTATGTTTTAGTGATAGAAGTTTTCAGACTCTTAGGAGAGTGTAAAATTAGCCCTGAGAAAAATAAGACCTCTGTTTCTTTGGTGGATGAAATTCCATGCTTTTTTTGTCATTGGTTTTACCAAGGTAATAGTTCTCTTGTAGCTGTGTGATGGCAAAATGAGGAACCCGAAGGCCTGCCTCCAGAGCTGCTCCAGGCTGGTGAGTCTGGGGATTTCTTCCTGTTGCAGTGATATTCTTTCTTATCTATTCCTGGTATAATTCTTCAGAGCTTTAGCATGCTGATGGTAGTGAAATTGATGGCTACTGACAAATTGTATGCATGAAGGATTTGTAAAGCCCTAGAGCATGATTAGACAAATTTTTAATTTTAAGAATACAAAGTGATTTCTTGATATAAACCTACCTTCCACTGAGAATATCAGTGAAAGTAAAATACTTTTTGGCTTAATTGTAACCAGTTATACCCAGAGAAAATTATGAGAGATCCTGTGGATCTATGCCTGAGTGCTGAGGTTAGGTATCTGGTTAGCAAGGATTCAGGGTCCTAAGTTTGGCTTAGCAGGTCTGCTCTTCAGCCATGTGCACTTGTAGTGTCTAGTGCATAACAGGAAACATTGATCCTCATCTTCCCTCCTGATGCTTGCAATTGTGCAATTACATGGTGCTGCTGGTGGCTGGAGTCCTGTTCCTGTGGGCACTGGCTGTGGTGAAGGTCACCTTAAGGGAGCTCCTCCTGCATGCAGATAGAGCACAGAGGGAAACAGAGTTATAAGCAGCCACAAAGAAATCCCTTCATTAGAAAAGGACATTTTGATTAAAGAGTTTTCAGTGGTTTGCCATTGAAAAACCTTCCAACAGTATTGAGCTCATCCACATCTGCTGAGGATGGCCTTTATCCTCAAGGGTCAGAAGTTTTCATAAAACCTAAAAAGTATGTGGGCCATGTCAGTCCAAGGAATGTGGATCTATGACAAGTTCTTGGAAAAAATGTCTTTTGTTGTAGGCTCAATATTTCTAAACAGTTTCTAGGAAGATTTTTTTTTATTTTAGATTTTTATTGAGAGTGGAAAGAGAAAGTCATTTAGGCTACTCAGCTGCAGACCTGTGACTAGGAGATATCAAAAAAGCTGATTAATTCGAACATGGTGGTGATGTAGGATGAATAAAAAAGAGAATCATCCTACTGCAGGAAGACTAATTTTATTTTGCAATAAATATTGAGTATTTAGTCCTGATTAAATATGTTATTTTTCCTGATGTCATCTTATGTAAAAACAATAAGCTGGATTTATCCCTGTGTTAAATAAACTAAACTACAGAGTCTAAGAGAAACAAATCAAATATAAAATATATAAAAAGGACTTTAGCCACCTCTCAGTAGAGGTAAGCTTATCACCAAAAAATAAAACTCCTTGAGAAGTCACTTTTGATTGATTAAGACACTTGCAATTTAATGTGCTACTTTAGCAAAATTTAAGAGCATAATAGATTGTAAGGAACAGATTGTTGTTCAGTTTGTTGGCAGTTCTGAAAAAGAGAAAAAACATTCCAGAAATGAACATTTCAAGTGCATTGCAATTTGTTTCAGGTCCATCACCACTTCTTTTGATATGACATGAATTTTTTGAATCTGATTTTTCTCTTGAGTACTTCTAAAAAACAAAAAGTGAGGTGCCTGATGTGAAGAACCTTATTTTTTTATATGTATATGGATGATTGAACAGAATGCTTGAACTGTTTAATTTTCTCTGTTCAAGTTCATAAATGTATTCTCTGCTCATTCGCTTCTGTGAAGGAAACAGGTGAAGTCAAAGTGAAAGTGATATAGTAGTGCTTCATAGCAAGTGTTCATGGAGAATTAATTTATTCTATGATGGCTGTGTAAAAAAAAAGACAACAAACAAGAAAAAAAGTTGTTACTTTTTTCTTGTTACTTTTTTTTTTTTTTTGACGTGTATGAAGGCTGTTAAACAATGCCATGTTAGGATACATTGAAAGGATCAAAGTGAGAAAGACAGAAAAATATGCCTACTGAAAGAACTCAAGGGTTTTAACAATGCAAGAAGGAAATCCTTTCACTAGGACAGTGGTCACTAGTGTTACGTTTGCAGGTCAGGGTTTGGCAACCAGGGAATTTGGGGTTTGCTCCTGAAATGATTTGGGACAGCAGTCTTTTACTGGTGGTTGGAAGGACATCGATCATATTTTTGTATATGTACTAAATCAACTTATTTATGCTGCTTTGGTTTTAGTTCTGCTTTAAAAAAAACCACAAACCATCCTTTAATTTTCTTGGCTCACACCACCTTTACTTATGCATGTCCTCATTCTCAGCTAGACTGCCCAGGTTAACTTTTTCTGAGCTGAGTGCCTTGTATGTACTTGCAGCAAATGTACTTCAGAGCTAGAAGGGTGCACAAAATAATGTCAGTAACATTCACCAAAGTATCCATAAACATTTGGAAAAGAATTTTCTATAGTTTGTAAGACACAACATGCATTCTTACATGGGCTGTGAGAAGGACATGTTAATAACCACCTTGTGTGATTTGCCTGTTTTGCTCATGCCTGTAGCACTTGTGACTTATTAAGAGATAGTGGGTCATCCTGTTCCACATGGCCATTAATTACATCTTCAGAGAGCTGTGCTCTGGTAGAAGACCCAGCTTAAATATGAACAGCTGCATGACTCTTTCACAGAGCCTACATTAGAAGCAAAAATAGCCAGTTTTAACCACAGGTTAGCATAAGTTATGTAAAAAGAAAAAAAAAAATTGTGGAATTTGGTGGAAGCTTTGGTAAGTCTAAGTGGTCTTAATTTCACTTGGCACATCCATTTGGATAAAATGAAATTTCAGCTGTAACTTTGGCTATATCTCTCCACATTGCTCTAGAAGACAGAGGAGGAGGAGGAAAAAGTCATCTCCCAGGATGTCTGCTCAATAAAGAAAGAGAAGGAGGAACTGGGGGATTTGTAATGGTCCTGTCCTGAAAGGGTGTTTGTATTGCACGAGTAAGCCTGCAGATGCACATTTATACATATTCACACACAGTCTCACTTAGTATATATATTTTAAAATGTACTTAAAATTATTCCATAAAAAAAAAACCCAAAACATTTTAATGATATAATTTCAAACAGGTGAATTATACTTCACTGTCTTCAGAGTGTCAAGTGGAAAATCATGGAAGTCTTCTGATATGTCAATGTTACCTGTAGTACATAATTTCCCAAAAGGATTTATGATTTCAGATGCTGGGGTTGTAAAGAGGGGGACCTTTGACTGGGATTCTAGGGACAATGTTGTGCAGCACTTTTAAAAAAGAGGAAAAAGGATCATCCCACTGGGTTTACTCTGCTATCCTTTCTTTAAATGTACCTGCAGGTAGTTAATCATTGATATGTATTGTTTTAAAACAATATATAATACACGTACTGAAAGATGTTTTTTCTTAACTATATTCTGTGACATTTAATTTAGAAACAATTTCAGTATAATTATTACAGATGTTTAAAGTATATCCCTTGTAAAATTGAGAACAGATACAAGAAAATGAAGTTAAGTGCTGCTATTGCATTTTCCATTGGTTGAAACTTAGCTGTGTGCATTACTCCCATGGGAGCACAGTAAATGGAGTGGAATTTTCATTTCATTTGTTATGAAAGACAGTCAGTTCCTCAGATACTTCTCAGTCTACAATGTCTTTTGTTGTACCAGTTGGAGCGACTTCATTTCGAGAAATAGTGTATTTCTTTTGTACTGTGCAATGCAAAATCATACTTGAGGTCAAACACACCACTGCAGAAATTATCTTTCTCTTAAATCCATTGTCATAACGAATTTCTTTCTCCCACAGGGTTTTAAACAAAAGCTTGGAAACATTTGTGCCCTGAAAGTTGAGGAATTTCCCTACCTGGCTTTTGGCATGACAGCCTCAATTCTAAAAACAACTCTGCATTAGCAGGGTGAGCATTTGCCCTTTTTGGTGAGGTTTTAAGTTTAAGTTGTGAAGTTAAATGAGAATCTTGTTGCATTGGGAAGAAATGGTGGCAGTTGCAGAATTTATTACCGTCCTTCCTCCAAGTGGTACATAACCTCTCTAAAATGGATTCACACTCCAACTACTTTTGTTTGCTCTAATAGCTCAGATGAAGAGGCATTGTATAAATGCTGTGCCATTGCAGGAACAAAGCACTTTCCAGAGACAATATAATTCTGTACTAATGGAAAAGTTCTCCAAATTCAATGGGAAACCTTTATGAAAGGTTGTTTTGTAACCACTCTTTTAACTGAGCATAGGATTTTATCTCTTCTGTGGAAGGGCTCCAAAGATTTTTTAAAAGGAATGAGTTCTGCATAAAATTCTTAACTCTTGGTTAATGCTTTTATCCCAGTGGAACTTCATTGTCTTCAGTGGAGCTGTTTGTATTTATGTTGTGATAGGGATAATGTCCTCAGAAACCTTTCATTTCTGTGCAAGGTGATCAGTTACCTCATAGTTAAACCTGCAGGGCTTTTTCCTAAGGTGTGGAGAAAAGGAGAAGGAGAGGACATTAGTAACTCTCTTTCACAGTTGCAGTATTAAGATATAATGCTCTTGAGAATATAAAAGAAACATGTTCTGCATGTCTGTCTCAGAAAATAATAACTTCCTCTGCCTGGCTGACTGTGACCTGTCAGGTACCTGTCTGGTACAATAACAAGAAAGGACTGATGGGCCTGGATAGATAGACAGGCAGACTGCCATGATGGCATTTTGATTGCCTTGAAATATAGACACTTTATTTACATTTTGTGTAGAGATTCTCTGGATGCAAAATGAAAATAATTTGGCTGATGCCTCTTTGGTGTTCTGTCATGTCAGTGGTCTTAGTTTTTAATGTGAGAGTGAGAAAGATTGTGATCGTAGGAAATTGATGCAGCTTGCCAGAGTTCCACACTGTCCATCTGACAGCCAGTGCAAGAGAGTTTGCTGCCTTGCAATGTGCTTTTTTGGCTCAGGTTTGTTTCTGATCAGTCACTGACCTTTCCCATCATTTTCCTTGTGCAGAATAATTTAACAAGCTGAAATCAGTGGGAGCAAAGGGACGAAATGGGCTGCAAGGCAACTCAGTGGTTCCTGTGTAGGACTCCTGAATGAACAATTTGCAAACCGTGTGCTTTTAAAGCAACTCTCCCTTTCTGCATTTGCTCTCTTTCTATGCCTTAACCTCACGGGAGGCACCACAAGCTGGGGAAAATAACAAATCTTACAGCACAGAGTGGTGTAATTCTGGGGTGTGATAAAGATGATGGTGGTGTGCACTACCTTAGTATCTTGGAAACTACCTGCTGTCTCCTTTTTCCTACAGCTCTCCTGCTATTCTTCCATATGAGAAAGGATCCTTCATGGGGATTGCTCAGTGTTCTGCTGACCATTAGCATCTAAGGTAAGCTGTGGGAATGGGGGAGGGAAAGGGATGAGCTTAAAAGGACATTTGTTCTGGGACAGTTGCATCCACAAGTGAAGAAGATAAAGAGAGGACAAATGGCAGAACGGTTGTGACCCAGGTGTGGCAGCTATTGTTGAGGATTCAAAATATGCTTCTGTTGAGAATTCATAAATTAACATGCTTCTCACTGAGAAACAGCATTCATGATGGAGGCAATTGATTAGGGAAACTTTATTTCATATGGATGCCCTGGGCAAGATGCCCTTTAAAGATGGATTTCTGAAGCCTGAACCCAGGCTCCTGTTACTGTAAACATCTTCCAGTGCTTTATTGTGAGGACTAATGACAGCATGATAATGTGAGGCAAATAAAAATCTTTGTCAAATAATTTAAAAATGTTTTGTTCGAATGTGGGAACTGAGAAAAAACTAGGAAATATAGTAAAGTGTTAAGAAATTGTGACCTCATAGGAAAGATAAGGAGAATGGGGTTTGTTACCTAATAGCTCCTTAGGTATTTCTAGCTATTTATATAGACTATATAATAAGATGCAATGCTCAGTCTTTCTTACTGCTTCTGAGGGAGAAATTAACCTATGTTTATACAGTGGAAACTAATAAGCTTCCATTTAGTTCTGACAGCAGGAAAGAAAACTTTCTACCTGTTAGCCTGATGAAACATTTGGGCTACATGGAGAGTGTTTAGTGGATGCCAAAAAAAATTAAGGATCAGGTCAGACAAATATTCTCTGTGTGCTGGATGCTCCCTCAGAGCAGGTTGTGGCTTGGGTCATGGTTGAAAGCTTTTCCATTTCACTGAGTCTTCCTTTGCCATCTTCTTTGCTAGCTTGAAGTGGTTAAATTATACTTACTTGACAGCTGTGGCTTTTACCTTCCCTAACAATTTGGCTGAAGGCAGAAAGAGCTGTGTAGAAAGTCTTATAGACAAGACACATGAAATTAATTCAAACCACAAAACCTGAATAATGAAGAAGATTCTCAAGATCAAACTTCTCCATCTGAACTGCTGTTTCGTTTGGGATGCACTTCTGCCAGATAAAATATAATTAGTGACATTTTCCTCACAAAGTTAAGTAAAAAACTAGGGTCTGTGTAACATTTTTTTCCTTTCAAACAAAATTTATATGAAATTTGGATTATTCTCCATTTCTAGTCTTTCTCTGTATCCAACTAATTGGGCTATCTGACTTGTTTGCCAGATGGTGAAAAAGAGGCAGATTGTGTGCTTAAACTCATCCATTAAAAAAAACAAAAACCAAAAACCAAACAAACAAAAAAAAAAAACATAGAAAGAGAAAGAAGAGAAAGAACATTATCTGGTCTCTCAAGAAGATAAAGTAATATAATGAAATGCCACTTGCCTGTTAGTTTTGAAAGGTGAGTGCCTCACACCTTCCTGGCAGATAAAGTTTGATAATGAGTTCTATCTAAGGTGCCTTTGGCAAGGCTGCCTTGGAAAGATTATCCCCACGTATCAGATGGTCTGTACATTCGGTGTTGTGCAGATCCCTGGGGCATGGAGTTGGACACCTGGGAATGCCTGTCAGTATGTGCATTGCTCATGGTGGCAGAAGAAGGAGTGGGAGAGGCAGGAATGGGGCAAAAAAAAGAACATAATAATAATAAGTCTGTGCAGAGGCTTCAGGTAACTCAGTGGCATTTGAATAAAAACTGAAGGAGGAAAATTGCCAGGTCTCTGGAAGCAAAACAACATTTTGAAGAGGCTGCTGGGATACAGTCTGACATGAGTAAATTGCAAGCTGAGATAAATATGCCTGGAACTATCAAAAAGAGTGCTGTACAACATGCACAAGGTATGATTAGCCATCCATTACAATTCATGACAGTCCTGCTGGTGTAAGTAGTGGAACAGCAAGAAGGGCATACCGCTTTTACAGTCAGTCTTATTATGGGGAGAAAAATGTATGTGAATGCTTATTTAGTAATTTTAGCCTCTGTCTATGTTTAAAAATACAAGGGTTTCCTACAGTGTTGGCAATAAGGCAATACTTATTCAGGAAAATACAAGTGGCTTTTGTTCACAATGTTGAAAACAGCAAGAGACTATAGTTCATACCTTGATTCAAAATGCCCGTGCCCTGACAGGGCCAGATTAAACAGATGAACTTTTAGAGCAGCACATAAAGCTTGTACTGTTTACATAAAATATGGCAATTTATTAGAGAGAGCATAATTTAGGCATAAGTATCTGGAAAATTATTTGGATTAAAATGATGACTTGCACAGCTTTGTAATCAAGAGCAAATGGACTCACAAAAACAAACTACTGAAAAGTCTTCTATTGTTTCATTATATGCCTAAAAGATCATAGCCCACTCTTCACCACAGTGTAGGTTATGGTGGAAGGAAAATCTTGGGAATTGTTGCTGCAAAAGTGAGTGCTGGAAAAAAATTAATGGAGTAGAAAAAGCTTTAACTGTCATCTTAGTTTTTCAGCCTGAAATACATTTCTGCCCAGACATGATACTAACTAGACTGAGTGAATCATGGCCAATTGTAGTGTTTTAAATGATCAGTCCCACAGATTAATTTCAGTACAAAAAGACCCAAATCCCACAGTGCAGCAAAGTTGGGAGCAGGTTTTTTTGCAATCCCCTGACAGGGGACCCAGAAGATATTTTCATTTCATTGCTCTATAAAAGTGTCTCTTGTTTACTACCTCTCTTAAGTACCCAAATCTGTCCTTCAAGCAGGAGCTTCAGTTGCTGTGCTCAGCCAGATTACATAATGTTCTTTGTTGTGAATGCCAGCAGCTCTGCTAATGGCCAGCAGGACAAATCCAAGGTGAGGATCAATGATGGCAGACTAGGAGTCATACGACTTTAGGAAAATGGAGCCAGATTGATGGTGGGCTGCACATTGCTGAATTGTTACTGAAAGTTGTTAATAAAGTTCAAATGTTTGGCAAATAAATGACTGTCTGGAAAATCCTCTTGTTTTGTATTGTTGTAGGTAGAGAATGAAAGGAATCTGAGATAATTTAGACCTAGTGCCTTATAAAGATTATAAATCTGCTGCTGCCAGATAAAGGGAAGGTTTTTCAGGTTCCTTCTGGTACAGTAATCAGATACTCTGGTCTCTAGACAGAGCAACTCAATTTTTATGCTAACTTGGGGATGTTTATTTTTCTATTTCATGCAGTAGTTAAATCTGAAGAATAATTAAGATTATAATTTGTGTGGGAAGAATATAGTAAATAATTTTTCTCTTAATTTATGGAAATCCAGATTATCTTAATTTTTTCCAATCTGATGCCTACAAATCTCAGGCTATGTATTGCTTTTGATGAGTCTCATCTTTTGATTGACCCTTTGTGGTTGGAAAGCATTGCCTAGAACAAATATTAGGAATTTAAGCTTCTTTTCCACTAGAAGAGTGATATTTTGGCAGCAGTGGATATAAAACCCACCTGATTTCCAAAGGTTTAAGGGATTCTCAGGGTTTTGGGATCACTCCAGTATGTGTACAGTCAGCCATCAGTGAAGTATCTATCACTTCATTTTATGCAAGTGCAGGTGAGATGCACGTCCTTGCCCCTCAGGAGCTGATACAGGGAGCTCTCAACTCTGGCAGTACTACTTTTACGTTATTTGAGTGGCTGAGCGCCTTACCATGTTTATCCCATGTTTTAAATATCTAATGCTTCACGAGTCTCCTTCAGTCTAGTTCATGGAGCTGAAACTCAAATAGCAGGATAAGTGAAATCAAATATAGTCTCTTTTTGACCTTTCCAGTACAGTTATATGAGGCACTGGAAAAAGCAATGAGGACTGACACAGTTCTCTTGCTTTGTCATATGGCTGTCCTTAGTCATCTTGCCATGTCAGTGGCAGTCAGCCACTGTAGGTGCTACTGTAGCCTGTCTTAACACTCTAATCCTGAAATAAGATTTGCCATATGTTGCTTTTCCTTTAAATAGCAGCCATTCATAAATGTAAGGCATATTTTTCTCAGCTCACAAAATCTACTGCTGGCTGAGATGATATTCATATCTATGGCCCTTCTGAGAAATGTTGTCTTTATTTTAAGCAAAATTTTGCAACATGAACACATTGGCATTTACTTCCTAGGGCAGGATGCTGACTTTTTTCTTCAGTGCCCTGTGCTCTGTTTAGTGCAACTTTATATTTAGGAGAGCTGAGCTCTAAGGAATCTCGTGGCAATTTCACCATCAACCTGTGAAAACAAATTTTCTACTTTGCAAGACAGGGTCCTGCTTCCTCCTCTGTAAAATGGTATTGCCAATGAGATGCTGACTTTGTGGGCAAGCCCCATGGTGGTCTCTAGTGGAGGGAATGAGTTGTCTGGTAAGCATGGATTTCTCAGGGCATCCATGCAGTCGTTTTAACTGTAGCTGTCTGGTGGTGTTGGTGATTGTCTTGTTGCAAGGGCTATGGGATTCAAGTTACAAATAAAATAAGTCAAGTTTGCTCTGTTATAATTGTAGCCCAGGTAACAGGGTTGCAACCAGCGTTCATGCCTGCACTTCTGTCTTTTAACAGCCTGGGGAGTCCTGGAACTCCTTGGTTAGTCCCCTGTGCAGGGGAGGTAATGCAGGGGTCTGGGACACTAAAATTGTTTGAAACTTACGCATTGATTGAACTACTAGATGTCTTCACAGCTAAGTACTTGGAGTAATATTTGACCAAATATTTGGGGCTTTCCAAGTGTACATTTCAGACTTTCCTGAAGATTTTCCCTAGGTAGTATTTCTGTGATTCTTTGCTTAAATACAATTATTAACATACTGAGTGAAGAATCTGGGTGTCCCAGTGACACCCAGGTGCTTCCTGCTGCAAAACGGACCAAATTGCATGTATAGGATGCTTGTGAATCAGTAGAAGCTGTTTCTACAGATGCAGAAATAGTCATGAAGTGCAATATATTTTAGGTAGGTAAGATGGGTAGGGAGTGTTTTCTATGAAGTTAGAGACAATAGCAAGGGATCATTAATGT